GAGGCAGGATGGCGCCATGATTCTGGCAGTAGCCTGAGACCCTGCCCTGATACAGACTTCCTGTGTGATCTCAGCAAGTCACTTAGGCCCAGATCCTCAAAAATGTTTAGTTTCAGAGTAGCAGCCGTGTTAGTCTGTATCCGCAAAAAGAAGAACAGGAGGACTTGTGGCACCTTAGAGACTAACAAATTTATTAGAGCATAAGCTTTCGTGGACTACAGCCCACTTCTTCGGATGCATATAGAATGGAACATATATTGAGGAGATATCTCCCCAAAAATGTTTAGGTATCTCATCCCAGTGAATCCTGGGTCAGGCAACTGAGCCTGGGTAACTACAGATGCTGTCATTGCTCATAACTCAGGCCCTACCAAATTCGCAGCCATGAAAAACGCGGCACGGACCGTGAAATCTGGTCTCCGCCGTGAAATCTGGTCTTTTGTGTGCTTTTACCCTATACTATATGGATTTCACAGAGGAGACCAGAGTTTCTCAAATTGGGGGTCCTGACCCAAAACTGAGTTGCAGAGGGCCGCAAGGTTATTTTAGGGGGGGGATTGTGGTATTGCCACCTTTACTTCTGCACTGCCTTCAGAGCTGGGCAGCTGGAGTGCAGCGGCTGTTGGCCAGGCGCCCGGCTCTGAAGGCAGCACCCCGCCAGCAGCAGCGCAGAAGTAAGGGTAGCAGTACCACAACCCGTCCTGCAATAACCTTGCGACCGCCCACAACTCCTTTCTGGGTCAGGACCCCTACAATGACAACACTGTGAGATTTCAGATTTAAATAGCTGAAATCATGAAATTTACTATTTTTTAAATTTATGACTGTGAAATTGACCTCAATGGACCGTGAATTTGGTAGGGCCCTACTCATAACATTATCCAGCTCTTTAGTCTTTCTGTGCCTCGGGTTCCCATCTGTGAAATGGGGCTACTAATTCTTCCTTAATTAGAATAAATAATTAAAGACTGTGACATGCTCAGATCCTATAGTGATTGGGGTTAGATAAATAACCTATCTGTTTAGATTAGGTAACAGCTGTCCATGAAGTGCAGTCTCCATATTAGGTCTCTCACAGACTTGCCAGATGTTTCAAGCTGGTATCTTCACACGCACACCCTTAAAATGCAATGCCATCTTTCATGCCAGAGTGCACCCAGAATAAGTTACGAAAACAAGAGAACGATGCTGTGGAGATGTGCACAGGACAAGGAGTAGATCTGACACAAAGTGTTTAAAATCTAATCTGCTTAAAATATCTTTTTCTTTAGCGCTCCTGCTTCCAGCCCCAGAGTAAATCTAAGGTGCCACAAGTACGCCTCGTTCTTTTTACCATTGAATGCTGTCAGATTGAATTGTCCATTCCTTCAGCTCATGCAGTGAAGAATAAGTGCAAACAGCTGTCAGCAATATACATATACCAAAGCTATCTTGTAGCTGGATCTGTTTTTATTATTAAACTCCAGTCTCCCTGTTATAACAAATGAGAAGCACTGAATTTAAAGCTTATATCTGGAGGTGCATTTAGACAAGGTAATAAATCTTGCGTTGTCACTTAGATGTTGGGAGCTGCCTCGTTTTCCCCACGCGTCTATTTCACGTTGTGTTTGGCACTGGTCTTGCTGCAGCCTCTCCCTGCTGGGAATGAAGTTATGACCCACCTCTCCACAACTGCCAGTGCTTCCTACCAACAGTGAGAGGGTGAAGCGAGGGCCTGCCCCAACTCCTGCAGTGAAAGGGGTGGAGATTCTTTGCCATGTAGGCACTCGCCTGTTATAGTGAATCTCTGCTGACAGTGAGGAGTTTTGTGGGAAGGAATACTTCACTATAAGGTGACTTAGGTGGGCACGTGGGTCTTGATCCTCAGCTCTGATAAATCGGCCCAGGTCCATTGATTTCAATGAAGCTAATGAATTCCCAGTCCTGTGCTTTACCATGTTCTAATTGGTGAGCCCTCATTTCTCCCAAATCCGTGGCTATGCTGGCATGAACTGAAAGGATAGACAGTGCTATCGCAGTACTGTATAAACAGTCACCACCCAGAGCAGAGTGCAACATTCGCTGTTTGATCTGATCTGATTAAAATTGATCGATTCCCCGTGTTTCCATCTATTTAAGGCTATTACGATGCCCGAGCGAGGGTGCTGATCTGCCATGTCACTTGGCTGCTGAGAATCCCTTTAGAGGAGCTGGAAGTCTTGGAGGAGTCTCTACTTGAGAGCCTGAAGGAGCAGAAGGAGGAAGAGTCCGAGTAAGAGCATTTGTAGTAGAGCTTTGCGTTGGCTTTGGGTTTAAAACAGGCTCTGCTCCCAGCATGTAAGCTCACCGTGAATCGCCTGCAGTTTAGTCCGGTCTCTGACACTCCCTCCTGTGACCCTAGGCTAGTCAATTATGGATTGATTTTTTTTCAGAGGTGCTCACAGGTCCGGTTGACATGAGTTGGATCTGTGAATGCTCAGCGCTCTGAAAATATGGGCACTCGGGACCAACCCTGGAAGATGCTGAAGGCCGTCCAACACCTCCCAGGCCTGGGTCCTTACCTCTCTGCCATCCTTACTTAAAGTGTGTAGCACCCTAGTTTACAGACAATTTTGATTATTTCAATTGGAATACTCACTAGTAAGGTCCTAATCAGTATAATTAAAGGTGGAAGAGTGAGGCCCCAAAGTAAGTGCTATGTATTATTATCCTTGTTCAATCCCAGTCTAATCCCCATCTCTACAGTAATGCCTCTGCCGCTATGTCACTACAAACTTTTAGCTTCAGTTCCTCAGCTGGTGGCTTCAATGGAGCTACCCCGGTTTACACCAGCTAAGGATCTGGGACTGGGTTTAGAAAGGTGTTTAGGTGCCTAAAGATGCAAATAGGTGCCTGGTGGGATTTGACTTCAGGGGGAGTTAGGCGCTAATCAGTTTAGGCACTTCTGTAAATCTTGCTAGGCACCTGTCTGTATCTTTAGGCGCCCAAATATCTTTGTCAATCTGGCCCTTTGGTCTTAATATTTAAGATAATTCATTTCACCCTCATAATAAGAATCTTCATTATGAAACTGCCAAAGCAGTAGCGCCCATGGGTTGTGCTGGCTTGGGGATAGAGTGGACAGTACTTTAGTTGTCATGCAGAGGGAGCAGATGGTGGCTTAGCAATGGGGTGGATGGTAAGTGTGTTTTAATTCACTTGCAGGAGGTCTGCGTAAACACAAGAAGTTTATTAGCTTAATCTAATCAAGTGCTAATAAACGCATTAATCAATCTCTGTGACCCAGTGTTGCTCAGATGTTGCCGTGGGTTTTCTGAACAGCTTGTCTCATGAATTTCTCGTTAATGACTTTATTGTAAAAATGAGTAGTCCAAATAATCTCAAAGGTTGTGAATGGCTGAGCAGGACGGGGTTTTACTGGAATCCGGGAGCAAGGGTCAGTATTGATGGATTTTTTTGTGCTGCGGCTGGTAGAAATGGACTCCGTCTCAGGCGCTAGTGTGAGAATGCACGTAGTGAGGGTGACGTTTTTTGATTAGTTTGCAAAGTTCTTGACCCTTCGAGATGGTATTACAACATGGGTCATTATATTTTGTTCAGACTGGGGCTCAGTTCCTGGGGTTTGATCCGTAGAGGAACCACAATCTAACCCAATGGGCGTTGCACATGTGCATGACTTCTTAGGCCAGTGGTGACTGCAGAATTGCATTCTATACGTTAGAAGCTTTGCTTTGAAAACTTTCCTTTAGGCGCTAACCACCAGATCATAGGGAAGAGGAGCCTTAAACATTATTCGTAGGGGAGCGGATGGCTTAAGAGATTGGAATTTGGGATATGGAGTCTGTTAACTTCACCTCTTAGTCACTGGTTCAAATCCAGCGATGGTCATTCAGAATCAGACGTTGTTGCCATTTGAAGCTTTTTGGCTAGCAGTCTATGTGAAACAATCTGGTGTCCATATAACAAAAACTACTAGTACAATTGGTCCCCTTGTTGGCAGTCTCAACAGAGAGGCCCCAGAGACTAAATAAATGAATGTGGAAACTGAGCACAGCATTCATTCCTAGTGGTGGTCCCTCCAGGTCTGGGCTGAGGAATATTGGTAAGGGACAGGGTGAGGAAAATGGCATTCGCTGTGTTCTACCTGGACTTCCGATAAATAGAAAATATATTTGCTTATACTCAGGAAGAGGAGTACGTCGCTTTGCTATGCCTCAAAATGAGAACCTGTCCAGTGCATCTCTTCCGAGGGATCCTTTTTGGTCAACCTCAGCTCAGATACCACCGGACTTTCAAGGATTCCTCCTGGCTTCAGTCAGCAGGAGGGCATGCCTTGGCTGCAATGGGCCTTACCGTATGGAACTTACATCTGACTGGCATCAGTCTTAGCCCATTCCTCATGCTTTTCAACAGCTAAAGGCTTCTTCTCCCCAGAGTGTGCTTTGGTATCTCCACAGTCAGACCCATATTTATAACCTTCCCTTCCCCCCTGTTTTTTTTCCCCATGTCACGTTTCCTCCTCTCTGTCCTGGTGAAGTCACTTTGGCCTTTGCCCCACTATCTGTCTGGTTGTTTTCATGGTATTTTAAGCACTGTGCCTTGGTTTTATTGTGATGTTGATGATGGTTATTTCAGTCGTGTTCTTATGCTGCCGTCCACTGATCCTCTCCTAGAGTCAGATTGTCCCCAAAGATCCAAGCATGGGTGTCTCTTCCCACCCACTCCCTGTACATGAGTTCAGCTACCACTACGTCAGTGCCCACAGAGGGCTCTTTGCAGCATTGGAACTTAGCAGGGAGTAGGCGGCCCTGTGTTGGTGGTGGGTAGGGCTAGATGGGGGTGGAAAATACAAAATCACCCCCCACTCTAGCCTCACAGAGTTACTTAGGAAAAGGAGTCCAGCATGAGGCTGCACGGCTTCTGCCTTTTAAAGGGGTTCCCTAGGACAGCCCCTGCCAGCCAAGACTTCGGCAGCCTCTGCATATGTATTTTTACCCTATACTTGTAACAGAAAAGGTTTGCTCCTGTATCTTCTGATGCAGAAACTTTCACATGCACAGTTGGATTTTCAATATGGGCATCTGTGACATACCCAGGGCACAGTTTAGAATAATGAGTAGCTGGGTCACCCCTGCCCTCTTACCGGGGGTGCCCTTTACACGGCTTGGCTGCTGTAGCCTCCGGTCTGGACTGTTCACAAACAGCCTCCAGCAGGTCACTCCCAGCTATGTCTGTGTGCGTTGCTGCAGCCAGCCACACCTTGGCTCTTACCAGCGTTGGTTATACTGCAGGGTGACCCCAGCAACTTCCAGTTTCAGATTTCCCCCCAGATACCTATGTCCTGTACTGCCCAGCCTTCTCCTGGACAATACAAGTATGTTAAATTGGTTGTTTCTTGAAGGTAATAATATGACAGCTTATTAATTCAAATAGTTCTTCAGACGCTTCCATTTAAACACACTGGATTAGATAAAACAGAAAAACAAGTTTATTAACTACAAAGAGAGATTTTAAGTGAATACAAGTAATGAGACATAAAAGTCAGAAATGGCTACAAGAAAAATAAAGATAAAACTGAACTAATGCCTAACTTAACAAACTATGTTAAATTCAAAGCAGAGTTTTTCTCACCACATGCTCTCACCAGTCTTACTGGCCAAAGTTCTTAGTCAAGGACCTCTTCTCCTGTTTAATGGCTGTTTCCTTTGTCCCCTCTCATGCCGTGAAACAATGGACAGAAAGAGAGGAGGGGATGCCTTGGCACATTTATTCCTCCTTTTTATGGTGTCAGTCCCCCTCTTGGAAAACATTTCTAGTTTAGGTTCAGGAGACAGAGTATTTATAGGTAAGGCTGTTCCTTGCTGGTTTTCGTACCTATTTGAACTCCCATTGTCTCCCTTCCTGTCCTCCCTTCTGATTACTGCTTAAATGCACATTAAGCAGAGCACACATGCTTTTGTTTGAGACAGACCTGTCTGTCAACCTCAGTTTGGAGCATATGTTAATAACATCAGACAGGGAAATCTTATAACTTCACATACAGTGTTGCCATACACATTTTATCGGGACAGTATTGACTAGCAAATTGAGTCTTCAAATGATACCTTACAAGACATATCTTGTACAAACATTATTTCATTAGTGTGTAGGGAATGAATAAAGGGGTAGATTCTGTCACAGCATCTACATAGCAGTGTTCCAAATATTTAAATCCGTGTTATCGGTGTCTGACATGTCTGAATGACAGATGTGAACTTCTGTGTTGTTGCATGGAGCACTACATGTTGTCTTACGAGAAATTGAAAAGCGTGACGAGTTATATATCAATTGCCCAATAAAATCTACTTATTTCCTTTCATCACTGGAGAATGAGCTATAATTCTACTTATAAAATCTGGCTGAAACAGTTTATGGTTCAGGAGGAGTAGTTGCAAATCTGAAGTCACTGAGGGTATAGAAAGACCAAATATAGGCAGGTAATTACCCATGTGGAAACAAAACAGCTTCATAACCCAACTATGAACCATAAAGTACAAGCCACTGGAAAGGCAAGGTGAAATACCAGAAATGTTGGAGTTGTCAAAGGCAGTTGATGCCGGCTGTAACCAGACTGCAATGAAAATTAAAGTTTTGCTGAGGATAGTTTTACGATATTGTATTTATAGACCGGATTTAGCCACCAACTATCCCTGAACCCAGATACCTCAAGCCCTCATTACCGAGGGTGAGAGCCAACCAGCTGCGTTCCTGTTCTCTTGATGTCCTTCAATTTCTGGTTAGGAAAACAAGAGGGAGATGTGCCTCTCTGCTTTGTAGAAGGTCTGCTGGTACCACCACCATTTCTACTCTTTTCCATCCTCAGATGATAAAGCGTGGCATGGATAATTTCAGACAACTCCCAAAGCTTCGCAAGCAGAAGATCATACAAACACCTGTGACACTGGACCATTTAAGGTCCTGCAACCAGGGCATTAAAAAAGGCAGCTATAACTCTTGAGCAGCTTCCCAGTCTCTCCCCAGTAAAATCTTAGCATGTTCAGTCATCCACACAGGAGCAAATACCATCTAGCACCACTAAGACTGAAGGAGTTCCGTTAGGCAGTGAAGGTTCCAGTCCTGTAGGAGAAGGTACAGTACCGCAGGAGAATATAAGCAAATGTTACCTTGGAATAGGGCACAGGAATATTCTCAGGGACTCTCAATGCTAGTTAGCAACAAATAATGGTGTATTAAATGTAAATTTGAAATCCACTGAAAGAGACAGGGCAGCAT